TGTCTTTATTCAAATACTAAAGCTAACATTTCCCAACTACAACTAACCTTGATGTGATTCATCCTGATTTTAGTGCTTCGCTTGCGAGAATTTTTTTTCAAATTTTCCCACTTTAATCTCAATTGCTGCGGGGTACGCCGAGTAATACCTACTGTGGCGTTAAATTTTTCGGTTATACATTTCCACTCCTCAATTTTCAGCTTGTTGTTAGAGTAGCATTGGTGGTCTTATTGTTAATTATTTATGCAACGCTTTCGTCTCGTCCTTTGATAAGGGTTTACCTTTAGACTAAAACAAGGAAAAGTGCAAAATACAATTATTACTTGAGAGAAAATAAATCTGTCGCTACACACATTTATTTATGTGAATTGAAACGTTATTATCTATTACACAACTTTATGATAAATATTACTTACCGCTTCAATATCCATATTCAAATTATTAAAATATAAAAATAATATTATATTTCACTTCCGAAAGCTGTTAAACTTTTAAATTTTTTGTAAGATTGTCAAATGTCAGTAGGCGTTACGTTTTACTTTAATGCTAAACGAAAGCTCGATTCCAACAGTTAATTATTTTAACAGATTTTAACTTACACCAGTTTTTAAAATAATTAAAAAAAGCTGATTGTTATATTTTAAACATAGACATGTATATTTAATGTTATTTTACGGGTTTATTTCCTTTATTTGGTTTAAATTTATTATCAAATATGAGTGTAAACTGGGTAAAATGGAACGACAAAGAGGGAAGAGATTCCGTTCTATCCGTCGCCATTAATGGATAGTCTTCGTAGCTTTTGGTTATTGGGATGCAGATAGGAGATCGAGCGACTGTCACGGTCTGATCTCAGATTCTTTTCAATCGGCGATTGTGGATTAATTATTGGGTTCGGGCGTAAAACTACAATGTTACCCAAGGTGTATAAATGCCTATAAAATCTTTCATCGCAAGCGATGCGAAAACTATTGATGATAGAACAAAAAAATGTTCCACAATATTAAAGAACATATCTATATTTAGACAAGGTTTCGAAGATACTGGCAGCGTTTCCCCTTTGAATATCTAGACTAAATTTTTGTCTGAGGTAGCCAGCTCTTCGGTCTCCGTAATGTCGACAAACCTTTTTGCTATTTCCTTAAAAAGCCTTATAAATCGACATCGAATGGGACAAAATATCCTAGCCATAGCCTGTATTTGCATGCTTAAATAAACGATATAATACCTACAATAAAACTTAGATTTTTGTATGTCAAAACGAAACTCAACAGAATGTATCGTCTTCCAAGAATTAGCGTGTCACCATTAAGGCCCTATTCCAGTACGAATTGCTGTGTCAGTGTCTCGGGGCGCAGTGCAGAGCTGGTGCACTGAGGCGCGCCGGCCCATAAGAACAATTAGTTATATAAAACATTAAATTAATGTAATTTTATCAATTTTGTTTTTCTGAAATGGATTACTTGGCTTGCGATAAAATATATCGTGTAAATTTCAAAATCATTTTCGTCATAAAATGAATTCAGTGTCAAAATGGGCTATGCTTGGTTTTTTTTCTTTCGAGCTAAGTTTTTAAATCTTTCAAAATGGATACATAAACTACTCAACTTCACCATATATTTTTTCCATTTGCCTTACTTCAAGGAACGATGATCAAAAATGGAAAGAAACAATGTACGTTTTTTTGGAGTGTGGCGACCAGATCGGTCCTTAAAAAAAGTCCTGCCAAACATCTATTGATCTAATGACCTCAGCGTTGAGATTCAAGTATCAGTCACTGAGGCTGATAAGATAACAACGTCCAGCAGTCTATCAGCGGTGTCTTTGATGCCAACTAGTTTCCATAAATGAAACGGAATGTTTACTTCCTCTGTGAAAAAATAATGTGTTTTGTTTCACGTTCCTCACATCAACACCAACTATGGATACTCAGTTTTGAATTACGCCCGGACATAAAACAACTACTAAGCTTTGACTTTGACGTATCCCGGAATTTTAAAAGGTGTATTAAGAATATCCAAAGCGCTTCACCCGCATCATGAGCGTGTGCTTATGGTGTTACGTATTTAATATTTTTTCCTTTCGTAAATAATTGAACCTTGTTGTTTAAATTATGAATTCCCTCTTTGGCTATATCTTTAGAATAATAGTTTTTGTTGTATATAGTTTATGTTAGCTGTAGGAATACGAAATTAATAAATAAATAAATACTTTGGAGAGGAGGATTTCTAAAAAAATTTAGCACAAACGCAAATGATAGTATGTATTACTATTATAGAAAACGGTTATAGATTAGATATATTTGTATAGAAAAAAAAAGTGCGTGCGTACAAAGTACACATGTCAGAAGTGAAACTTCTTTGGCAAACTAATTTTTAAGTCTTGTTCATATTTATTCCACCCATATCACCTCGACGTTCGCCGTTCCACAACTGAGCGTTTTTCAAGGCAGTTTTTGCCGCGCACCACCACTATGTGGAACCAGCTGCCCACTGAAGTATTTCCGAACCAATTCGACTTAGGGTCCTTCAAGAAAAGAGCGTACCAATTCTTAAAAGGCTGGCAACGCACTCGCGAGCCCTCTGGCATTGAGAGTGTCCATGGGCGGCGGTATCACTTAACATCAGGTGAGCCTCCTGCCCGTTTGCCCCCCGTTCTATTAAAAAAATAATAATAATACAAATCTAAAAATTTAGATTTCCGAGACATAGCGGGATGGATATTTCTAAACGATAAAAAAAATATCTTCGATACTTAAAACTAAAAACTATTTCATAAATTCTATTTACGAAATTTTAATTTTAAAAATAGAATTTCTATAAGGTAATTCGCCCTTCTCACTCTCTTTCAATGGGTCTCAATCGCTCTCTCCCTTTTCTTCGACAAAAACGCTGCACATCTTCGTGACGTTTCCGTAAAATTTCCTAAAAACCTCCCGTAACCTGTAATTTATTATTTTTCGACAATACCTGTACTTTCTTTGGGTCGTCAAATTTAATAGTCAACATGATGTAAGTCTGGTTCATAACATTTTCAAGTTCCCTCCTGCGTATTGTAATTTGTGGTAATAAAACCTTTTTCGTCAAGGGCTTGCTCATAAATCTTTGTTTTAATGAAAGCATATTAATAATTCTCAATATGGATACAAAACTTATATATTACTAGCTGATCCGGCAAACGTCATTTTGCCATGTATTTCATTTATAATAAAAAATAGGGGTTGATCGTAGAGGGGTGAAAATTAGGGGTTGTATGTATTTTTTAATGCTGTATCATAAAAAAATAAGTAATTTATCTAAAAATTAAAAAAAATAATTTATGGGTGGACTACCCTTAACATTTAGGGGGGATGAAAAATAGATGTTGTCCGATTCTCAGACATACCCAATATGCACACAAAATTTCATGAGAATCGGTCAAGCCGTTTCGGAGGAGTATGGCAACGAAAACTGTGACACGAGAATTTTATATATTAGATATTGTTGTTTGTGAGACTCATGTTTTTTAAAATAGTTATGATGAATGAGAAAATGTATTTTAGGAAACAACATTTAGAGTTTGTTATTTTACTTGAAAACACTTTTTCTTATTTATTTTATAAACCAAAATGTTCTAACAAAAAAATCTTCGAATTAAAATTCAAATGATAGGCCAGGACTAGCTTCTTTTCCACAGACTAATAAACAAATTAAATGAAACATCAGTAAACACATAATAGATAATTAATAATCAAAAGAACCTAATCTAAGGAATAATAAAATTGTTATTTTGTATGGTAGTTTATATAAGTTACTTTTTGTACGTAATTGTTTTATTTAAATTAACTTATTCAAAGACTTACATTATACGTATAATTTGTAGGTATTTACAATTTTCTTAACCTACAAAGTAATAATAAAAATAATTAAAAGGAATATTAAAATAAATCTAAAAAGTTTCGTCCCGGTGGCAGTGTCCCTTTAACGCTGGCAGCATTTCCTCGCTGTATTGCGATACTTATTCGTTGAGCGAGGAAAGGACCCGTTCTGGGGTCACCGGTACTATCTACCAGACTTTAATTAGGGCCTGTGCCCTTGAACCCCACGTCCCAAGAGTCTCTACTCCAAAGGGAACAAAATCGAAGTTGGAGGAAAGACTCTTATATTTGTGCCGTTTATTATTTTCTGCCTGCTGTGTGGCCGCCCCAGCTTTATAAATAAATAAATCAGTGGCGCTACAACCTCTTTAGGTCTTGGCCTCAGATTTCTGAATCTGTTTCATGATCATTTTTAAATCTAATAGGCAAGTAGGTGATCAACCTTCAGTGCCTGACACACGCCGTCGACTTTTTGGGTCTAAGACATGTCAGTTTCCTCACGATGTTTTACTTCACCGTTCGAGCAAATGTTAAATGCGCACATAGAAAGAAAGTCCATTGGTGCACAGCCGGGGATCGAACCTACGACCTCAGGTATGAGAGTCGCACGCTGAAGCCACTAGGCTTTTTACAATACACTCTTAGTGTATTTTAGTGTCCTATCATTTTTCTAAGCACACACTTACAAGAGGCTTTAGCTGACGGTTCTGCTGGAACTTGAAGCGACCAGTTAAGTTTCATGAGGTCGAGGTTAGGCATCAATAGACTTTCTGTCTATGTGCGCATATAACACTCGCTCGAACGGTAAAGGAAAACATCGTGAGGAAACCGGCTTGCCTTAGACCCAAAAAGGCGACGGCGTGTCAGACACAGAAGAATGACCAGCTACTAGCCTATTAAATTGACAAATCATGAAACAGATACATACTAATTTGAGATCTAGATCTAAAAGGTGTTGTTTTTGTTGAGACAGGGACTAGGGATAATCGTGATTATCTTGAAGCTCTTTGTAATCGATTTGTTAATACATATTACATAATACTTTCTTAATTTCGATAAAATCAGTATCGCAATGGTAAATTAAAGATAAATATTTTGATATATTTATTATATAAGTAAATTGCATTCAATATGACTGTTCAAAATGGGCTGTTCGGTCAATTGGACAATATTGTATCTCGGTTTAATGGTTTGGGGTGTAAGTATATTTTTAAACTATGATTTATATATATTGATAAGTAATATTAACTTATCTCAAAGTTGGTATCTGCTATATACACTGGATTAAAAAAACAATCTGTGCTTTAGAATTAAAAGGAATAATTCATGAATCCGTGAGATTAAGTTTTTAGTTTTATTTTTGTATTATTTTAGATTAAGGTTGTTTTTTATAAGATTTATAATTTTTTCTTTATTTTGTTTTTTCCTTACTAGGGTTGCCTGGAAGAGATCGCTTGTTATCGATAACCGCCCGTTGCATATGATTTTTATGTATTACGTTAATTATTTTTCTATAAATGTAACTCATCATCATCAACATCAACGGCTGTAGAGCCCCCTATGGGAAAGCCTCCGCAGTTATCTGACGCCATCGCATTCTATTTCTATCTCGTTCTTCTTTGACTCCATCTTCGAATATCCATTGTTTTGAGGTCCATAACTTCATCCCACCAACGCAGCCCTGGGTTACCGGGTTTTGGGGTTCTGTCGTCCGCCATTCGGTGCACATGTATCACATAGTTGTTATGAATTGGACGATGTTGGCGTAGTCAAGGATGTTATAAAATTCTTCATTGTAGCAAATACGCCAAATACCTTCGCAAACAGGAACCAAAACAACCTCCTACAGTACTGATAAACTTAAAAACGTTTTACTATAAGTATCTCTTATTAGAGTTCTTTTCTTGATTTAAAAATCTTCTCTGTCTCTATCAATATTCATAGTTCATTGCAAGACATGCTTTTCTACTGAATAAGTATCTCCTTCCAGATAGACGGTATCCCTTCTCTTTTCATATGAACGATTTGCTCTGTTCATTCTACTCTTCTTCTGCCTTTCACCATTCTATTAGCCAAAATTGTTGAAAAGATGTTTAGCGATTTAATTTGTATATAATCTACTAATATTATTTCTTTTTCCAGGGCGCAGTTCAATGTCAGAACTGCGCGGGACAAACGAATCAAGTTGACAAAAATCGGGATCCCAACACTGGTTCATCAAGGTCTCAATTGATGAATACGCTTTTAACAGTTGCTGCTGCAAATGGAGTACTACCCGATTTGCTACCAGTCATCCAACCATCACTATCTGAATCCAAGGATACGCCGAAAACATTGAATTTGATCCAATTGTCACCGAACCGATCTAAAGAGCCGGTAGTGACTGGGAAACCCCTAGCACCAAGTCTTCAACCCATTGCAACACCATTAAGAGCCTCGCGTTATCCATTTTACAATACACCACTACAGATGACATTCACGCCTAGACTGACACCATCCAATGTGGTTCCAGCATCTCAGGCTGTAGAAAGTCCATACAAAGTTCAACCTAGCGCAGGTATTCAAGCAATACCCGCGACCTGGCAAGCGAACAGATCAGATTGGCTTCAGGAACCACCCATGCCTGCAAATCTGCAAATCACTCCACCTGCATTTATAGCAAACGAGAGAAAAGAAGAAACTCCAGCTCAGTTTCCAATTGATTATGATTCTCTACCCGTGAACTTGCAAATCAATTTACCATCTCAGAATCCACCTCAAATAACTGTGGTTTCAGCGTCTCCTAATCGGGCCCCAGAGGTTTTACCAAATCCTTATCCATACCACCCTCCCATCATTATCGACAGAGGAGACTCTTTAAACTCCATATTGCCGATAATGTTGGTTGCCTTGATAGCCAACGACAGAGATAATTGTGGGTGCAACTGTTGCTGTTCTTGCTCCAAGAATGTGGTACCTATACCATACCCTATTCCATTCCCTGTAAACAGTCCTGTTGTAACAAACTCTAGATCGGATAAATCTAGCAATGATGACGACAAAGATAGATAGGTATATATTTATTATGTTTTATTAAATTATATACTAAAATGTTTTTTTATTTCTGTCTCTGTGTATATCGAGATTTTATTGTCAAACACATGTATGTGTCATAGCTATGATAATAGATACATTTTCATTATACTACGAAATAATACTTTATGAAATTACCACGACCTTCCTAACAAGCAATTAAAAAAAATATCAGTGGCGCTACAAACTTCGTAGGGCCTCCTCACGATGTTTTCCTTCACCGTTCGAGCGAATGTTACGAGACAAAGTCCATCGGTGACTCAGCCGGGGATCGAACCTACGACCTCGAGGATGAGAATCGCACCGAAGAAATTCAACTAGATTTAATTATATTGAAAAGTATTTGGTATTTAAAAAAAAAAACAATATAATCAGGCATCATCTTTACTGACTGATGTATAATTAATACACCAGTCCCGTAAAGTGCGCGATTGACAAACTTAAAAATGATGAACACACTGAACATAAAAACTTAAAATAACTTGTAATAAATAATTATTTTATGACAAAATAAATTTATCTATATTTTTTTATACGCTATTCACGTGACACAAAACGGTCACAGACTAGTCGACACAACGAAGGCGTATCTTGAAAATAATTCCCGAATGACAATTGACGCACAACTTTGACGTTTGCTAATGATACGTCACATGAACTGGCGCCAGAGCAGCAATATGGCGGGTTCTTACGATTATCTATATTTAACATAAATTTTAAAGCAAGTAGTCGGCAGAAGTAAATAGTCGGTCTGAAAATCTTGTCAAATAGGTTTTTAACTTGCTCGTATAAGGTTAAAATGGCGAGTTGTGTGTACAGAGTATACAAAAATATCAAAGCAACAAATGCCAAACGTAACGAAAATTCTTTAAAATCTATTAAATATTATAAAATCAGTTAGCGATTTTATGTTTAATCGTGCTATTAAAATCGCTTAGTTCTACTATATTTTCTTGCTAACGATAAAATTTATATATTTTTTAATAAATTTAAATTCGTTTGAACGCCAGATGTATTGCTATTAGGCAAATGTGATTAGGACGGTAGATGAAATTATCCTGAAACGGAATGTTATGGCCATGCATAATCTCGACCCTTAGAAAAGATGTGTCTATAAGGTTCCACTAAAAATGTAGAAATGTGCCCATAAAATATGTGAAATTGTATTTTAACGTTTAACATTTTTATTTATTTATTCAAGTTACCACATCCTACGTCATACTAAATCTACGATATATTTTACAAAATATTTTATCTAAAATGTATGACAATTTAGGTAAACAACAAACAAGGTTACAAAAAAAAAGGCATAACATAATAAATAAAATCTTTTCAATGTGTCCTTTTTTATTATTGTCCCTTTCACTGTTTGCATGTTTTAATTGTTTTGCTTTGTTTCAATAGTTTTGTCTAAATAACAACATATAGGTATATGTCTTAATATGTAGCTTTGCACTTCTTGCGCTGATTTTATCTATTTTTTTCATCTCACAGTTGCCTGGAGCTATTATTTCTCGAAAGCGATAATGCGCTCCTTTTTATTTCATTTATTACATTATAAATGATATCATTATAGTCAATTCTTATATTATTTTATCACTACATCACATCATTAAAATATATTATTACGTTATCAAATTAATATCTTAATATATATAAATTAAGTGTCACGTTGTTTGTCCGCTATGGACTCCTAAACTACTTAACCGATTTTAATCAAATTAGCACACCGTGTGCAGTTTGCACTAACTTAAAAGATAGGATAGCTTACATTTGTTTATTATTTGACAGTCACAATAATTCTAACAGATTGCGCTGTGTTGAAAGTACCTCCGTTTCACATAAGCTATAATTTGATGGCATTTCCACCAAAAAAGCATGGTGGTCCCCATGACTGGTGTTCTCCTACCGTTACCCTTGATTAGTTTACTACTATGTAATATAGCAAAAACCTTAGCCACAGCAACGCTTGGCCGAGTCTGCTAGTTAATTATAATATTTCAAGCAAATAATCATTATTAGAATAATATTTTTTTTCCAAAAGTAGTATTAGTCGATATAAACTCTAGTAAGAAGATCTTTTAATATTGTTGGTTAATTATTATAAACCTTGATTGTCTTATATTAAGTAGGTACGTGCTTACGTGCGTACCTGTAGATTCGAATTAGTCACTGGTTCGACATTTCGCCATATTATATCTGGAAATCACATGATGGCATCATAACTTGTAAAAAACCAAGTCTCACATCGCAGTTCTTCTACCGTAAGTTGTGATCCATGTATCCAAAGTGAACTTCTGTCTTAAGTTATTACGTAATTAGATAACCTAACAACATCTATATAGCAAGGCATGGCATATAGCAAGATACATAGATAATAGGTGGACTTTAAAGACAACTGTATGGAAAGGACCAAGAGAAAGAAGGAGAAGCGGTAGCAGGAAACGAATGGAGAAAGAGACCCATAGACAGAGTAAGTTGGAAAAAGCTGGAGGCCTTTACCCGTGAAGGGGTTCCGATCGTCGGTACTGAAAGAAGCTAGGATATAGGATAACAAGCAAAAGAATAAAAAATTTATAAAAATGTAAAATAATCTAAGCTGTATATTACATATATATTTGTTTTTGTCATGATTGGAAACAAAACGAGCTTTATTATTAACATAATCTTAGTGACCATATCAATATTACAATTAATAAGAATAAACGGATTGAATGTTTTAGTTTCATCTTATACACTAAACAATAATTGTTTTCTAAATCTGAAGCTTCTGCCTGATAGAAGTGCTTTAGAGTTTTGATGATCAGTCAGTCAGTATGTGACAAAATTAAGCTAAGATTATACCGTGTGTATACAATCGCTGTGTGTTGAGTGTTGGCCTAGTGGCTTCAGCGTGCGACTCTCATCCCTGCGGTCGATCGATCTCCGGCTGTGCACCAATGGACTTTCTTTCTATGTGCGCATTTAACATTCGCTTGAAAGAAGAGGAAAAACGTGAGAAAACCGGCTTGCCTTAGACCCAAAAAGTCGAGAGCGTGCATCAGGCATAGGATGCAGATACTTGTCTATTAGATTGACAAATGATCATGAAACAGATACAGAAATTTTGAACAGAAAAAGGTTGTAGCGCCATTGATTTATTTTATACAATCTTCGAATTCGGCTTCTAATTTAGTCTACAAAATAGCCTAAACTACTTCGAAAAAAGGGTGGCCGTGCCGATAAGAGATACATCTAATCAAAACGCAGCGCCATCTAGTGAGCATTTGGCGTAAACAATAGCTAGAGTCACGTGCGTAATGCGTAATAGATCTATTTGACGCAACTGAGTAACAATAAAACCTAGCCTCGCGATTCGACATTAATAGTACGACTGTAATCCGCAAATATTTGCAAGTTATGGAAATTTTCATCTGGTATTCCCTTTTGGTCTTTGGCCTGACACTCTTTCAGGTAAGAAGAGATGGAGGAAAATACTCTGAGTAGGCAAAATTAAAAAACTCATGATGTTTAAATAAATTAAACTCTTTGTTTGAAGCTTAATTTTGAATTTTGAATTTGAAGCTTCGTTTACATCAGCTTAATATAACTATGTAAATATAAAATTCTCGTGTCGCAATGTTCGTTCCCATACTCCTCCAAAACGGCTCGACCGATGCTTATGAAATTTTTTATGCAGATTCAGTAAGTCTGATAATCAGATACTATATCTTAAACCCCTAAGTGATAAGGGGTATCCACCCCAAACATTTTTTTTTTTTAATGATACAGCATACAAAAATACATTTAACTCTTAATTGTCACCGCTCCACGATCAACACCCATTTTTTTATCATAGTAAATAGTTATTTTTATTGAACTAAAAAAATGTTTCCTAGAAATAATATACATGGCAAAACGACGTTTGCTAGTAACTAATATAAAATTGGGGGTAGGTAGTGGGGTTGTGATAGATCGACAAAAAACTGTTACTAATATAAGGGTTTAAATCTAAGTGACACTTCTGTACATAAATAATATAATTGTATAGGTGATTATCGGAAACGAGAATGTAATATTACAATTTATAAGTGTGGGAAAAACTAAAGGGCTCATATTGGCTTCAAGTGTGCGACGATTGCTAGTTTGCACTTCTAATTATTAACTGAAACATATATATTACTAGCTGACCCGGCAAACGTTTGTTTTGCCATGTATATTATTTTTTAGGAAAACATTTTTTAGTTTAAAAAATATAATCCACAATAAAAAAATAGGGGTTGATCGTATAGGGGTGAAAATTAAGAGTTGCATGTATTTTAGTATGCTGTATCATAAAAAATGAAAACAATTTTTTTTTTCTAAAAATTTTTGAGGTCGACACCCCTTATTACTTAGGGGCTTGAAAGGTAGATAATAGCTGATTCTCAGACTTACTGAATATGCATAAAAAATTTCATAAGAATCTGTCAAGCCGTTTCGGAGGAGTATGGGAACGAACATTGTGACACGAGAATTTTATATATTAGATATATGTGACTAAATCGCATCCTATATGTTGTGTTTGAGATTTATAAATGTTCTTGAAAAAAAAAGGTCAAAGCATTACAATTTAAGAATATTAACCCATTTCGCTTTCAGGAAGTACCATGTCAATTCCATCCTGGCCTGATGCCAGCACGCACTGATGACGACCTCGGTCTCATATTAACTGTCCTATTACTTGCCAGACAAAGGAATTCGAACATGAACAATTGTAACAGACAGAGGAAGACCATACCCATACCATATCCTGTACCATTCACGACCACACCCATCATCAGGTCGAGGGATAGAGACGACAGAACAGGGAGCAATGAGGAAACTTCCCAAGAAGATTCCAAAAGTTTTGATCTCAAATACAATCCTGTAATAGTTGCCGAGTCTGAAGAAACCACCAATTAATTGAAGCTCATAGAAAGGACGGAAATACAGTGTCTACACTGTTTTAACTGAAGTACTCTATCGTTTCTTTCTTTCATATTGTGTTTATGCTGGGATGAAAAGGGACACAGCATGTCCTTTAGAGTCTAGACTCTTCGAATCATACCTAAAAACACTTGTAACCATGAATGCAGTGCGTTCTACTCTTTATAATTTGTATCTGTAATTAATATATTTGGTCTGTGAATAATTTTGACGTTTTCTACCAAACTGTGTTTAGATTTTGACAGTTATTTTCTAAGCTTCTCTGAATCTTACCTGAAGCTTTGTAACTATATAAATATAAATTGTTTCTGTAATTAATGTACATATTTAGTCCGTGAACAATTTTGACGTTTACTTTTTAACAGTGTTTATGCTGTGTTATTACTTAATAAGTACTTTCCGTTTATTTTTGTAAATGATTATCTTATTATAATTTAAATCATATTATTGTATTTATTTAACCAACTCACAAATCAAAACAAAATTACATATTTAAATAAACAAATTCTATAATTATGAACCATAAATAAACACTTAGATATTGATATAACATATATTATATAGAACAGAGTTTTGTATGTCTGTGTACAAGCCAAGTACATTTTGCTTATTCAGGCTTTAAATTTTATAAGCGTGATAATTTAGGTAATCGCCTAAATAAGCAAAGCAGATCCCCGATGCACCAATAGACATATATATATATATACTAGTAGACTCGGCCAAGCGTTGCTCTGGCTAAGATTTTTGTTATATTACATAGTAGTAAACTATTCAAGGGAAACGGTAGGAGAACTTATGTGAAAGGTAGATGACAGCTTATGTGAAACGTTGATAATTTTAACACAGCGCCATCTGTTAGAATTGTATCAAATAATAAACAAATATTTTGCAATAAATTAAAATTGCGACTATAATTTGAGATTTAAACTATCCTATCTCTCAAGTTGGATCGAACTGCACATGGTGTGCAAATTTGATTGATATCGGTTCGGTAGTTTAGGAGTCCATTGAGGACAAACATTGTGACACGAGATTTATATATATTAAGATATATATTACATTCGCTCGAACGGTGAAGGAAAACATTGTGAGGAAACCGGCTTGCCTTAGACCCAAAGTCGACGGCACAGGGGGCTGATCAACTACTTAATTTGACAAAAGATCATGAAACAGATACAGAAATCTTATATGTTTTTTAAATTAATTAATATAGAGTGGAAATAATATTCTCTTATTAAAGCCATCCCCTTGACTCAGAAACGTAGTATAATAGGATTTATTTATTACAAAACTAGCGACCCGCCCCGGCTTCGCACGGATGCAATGCTGATACTAAATTCAAAGTGCTATAAAGTATAGGGAGAACCGCGGCCTCCGACGCGCTGCGTCCCGCAATTTTTAAATTTGTAATATCTTCGAAATATTCATTTAAATCATATGCTGTAAAGGGCCATATAGATCTATATTAAATCAACAATGCATTTAAGGTATTTAATTGGATAAGGATTAATGCTGTGTTGGTTAAAATCGCTTCGAAAATTAGCCATTATTTGTCGTAAAAAGTAAATGACAAAAAAAAAATATTGTGGGATATCCATAACAGATAGACATATACCATCACGGACTTTTCTGTAGACCTTTTCAATGTGTACAATACTTAGTACATTATTTTGATAAAACTCGTAGGGTTCAGCCTGCGTTTGCAATGTAAGCGGAAAAAATTTAATTATTTACGACATCACATTAGAAACCTCAAAAATAACAGTACTTCTCCACTATTTAATGGATGTTATTATACATATAACCTTCCTCTTGAATCACTCTATCTATTAAAAAAAAACGCATCAAAATCCGTTGTGTAGTTTCAAAGATTTAAGCATACAAAGGGACATAGGGACAGAGAAAGCGACTTTGTTTTATACTATGTAGTGATATCCGTGGACAGTAACCTGGCTTACATAAATTAAATATCTATATTGCAATGTTTTTATATTATTAAATAACACATAACGGTTTATGTACGCCTTCCTGACACAGTTCGACGTATGATTCAGACTTTGTTGTATGTCTAATAAAAATTTGTTTAAGACATACTTTCCCTTTGGACTAATATAACTCTAAGCGATATATCGTTTGCATTTATGATATTTAACAATCAGGTTGATTGCAACAACGTATACCTAAATTTAAATTTCGTGTACCCGAGATACTCCAGGAATCACATCGTCCCATTTGTAATTTTTAGAGGAACGTTTTGGCCAAAACTCACCGATATCCAGATTGAGCATTCTGATAAACGAGCTAGGTCTGAACATCCATAGCACCCCTCACCCTTAGAAATCAATTTTTTTTTAGTTTTTATTATTTTTTGATGTGAAACTTCTTTACTGTTTATTATTTAATATGCATAGTAAATAAAAATGCCGCGTGTTGTTACTTTTTATTATCGAAGAAATACATTAAAAATTAAGTTTTTAATTTTTATATATATATTTATAAGAAATAACAAAAATCCTTACATATCTTCCTTTTTCCCTCCCCCACAAGTCTCGGAAATCTAAAGTTTTATACATATATATATAAATATGAACAAGACTTAAAATCTAGTTTGCCAAAGAAGTTTCACTTTTGACATGTGTACTTTGTACGCACGCACTTTTTTATCTATTTTTATTTACCTGTAAGCTTGTCACATTAAATTTGGTGGTTTGTTTTTCTTGTACCAATTTATCAGTGTGAGCGTTGGCAAGCATTTATAAATAACTAGCGTACCCGACCGCGACGGTGGTTGTACCGCAATGCAAACGAAAAATAATTCGGACGGCTCAGACTGGGAATCGAACCTAGACCGTTTGGTTACGCGAAGCTCTCCGAGACTCTTGACTAAAAACCAGCTGTTTAGTTGCAGTACAAATAAATAACCTAGATTCCGACTGCAGCGCCATCTGCCGGGCTGATTCATTCAAAACGGTCCAATAATAATAAAAAATAGGCGTTTATCGTAGAGGGGTGTAAATAAGGAGTTATATGTATTTTTGTATGCTGTACCATAAAAAATATTGTCTAAAAAATAAAAACATTTTTTTGGGGTGGACACCCCTTATCACTTAGGTGTTTGAAAGATAGTAGCTGATTCTCAGACTTATTGAATATGCATAAAAAAATTCACAAGAATCGGTCGAGCCGTTTCGGAGGAGTATGGGAACGAATATTGTGACACGAGAGTTTTAAATATTAGATAAAATTAATAATACTATGTCGGTTTCCTCACAATATTTTTCTAACAAGCTTTCAAATGCATAATATTGATTTTGTAATATCTATTAGATAAATTTTGCTATCATTACATTTATCTTTATCAAGAACGTGATAAAAAATTAAAATGCAACATAAGATAACTCATCAATTACATAATAGCGCATACATAATATATATCAGTTAGTACTGATCATAACATGCGCATTTCATTTATCTTAACCATGGCGTCGGCCATATTTTTAACGTCGTTTCTTATATATCTACACACATATGTAAGTATTGGTGTTTTAACACATATTTATATAATCCTAACAATCAAATATACAGTATTTTTCTAACTTACATAGTAATAATAATAATAATTAAAACAAATTTAAAAAGTTTTGTCCCTACGGCAGTGTACCTTTAATATAATAATAGTTTTATTCAAATTTTACATATGGCGTCATTATCTGTCAACCTGTCTACTAGAAGTAATTATTACGGGAATCAAACCTGATTTAACAATTGTTTAAACCAAATACTTAATTCGGAACATGCGTTTTTAAATCAAATTTAAAAAATAAATCAGTGTTTCAACAAACCTATTTATTAGGTCTGGGCCTCAGATTTCTGTATCTGTTTCATTTGTCAATCTAATAGGCAAATAGATTAGCCTCCTGTGTCCGACACAGGCTGTCAACTTTGGGTCTAAGGCAAGCCGGTTTCCTCACGATGTTTTCCTTCATCATTCGAGCGAATGGGCAAATAGAAAGTCCATTAGTGCATAGCTGGGGATAGAACCTATGACCTCAGGGTTGGTTGTGGGAAACTATTAAAATAAAATAAAAAATTTCAGATCTGCTATGGACAACCGAACTTTTTCAATCACCATAACTTCCAGAAACAGCCCGGCGTATCTGGTTTGCAGATGAATAAATCCATGTATCCAAATAATGAAGGAAAACCGAAACTTCAGCAGTTGCTGAACTCGCAAAACCAGCCGGAGAACTTCGAATCTATGCAACCCATGACGCAATTACAGCCTGTGCCACAGACTGTTAACCAGAACACACCAGCTTTTCCAGTAACATGCAATCGCGCTGGAGCCGCACCTGGATCTATGGATGTACCACAGCAAGCCGTTCCAAATTATGTCTCTCAGGTCTCCAGACCAACACAATATTATCAACAGCCCCAGTTTGCTATTCAACAACGACCCGCTCAACCAACCCAACATTACAATCCACCAATGCAGAATTACTTGGAACCAGCCATTGTGATGGAACAGCCACAATTTCCACCATCTTCCGCGAGACCATTCTACGGGTATGATGGTTTCCAAAACGGAGCTCTCTCATACCCTCAGTACGTCCCAATGATACCACCATACCCGAGTTATCCAGTCAATACAGTTATAGCCGATCAAGGTTCTCAATCGTCAAGTCTTAAAACACTTCTTCCAATCATTCTTAATTTACTAACGGAGAAAAGCAATTGTAATTGTAGATCGTGTGACTGTAAATGTTCTAAAAACACAAGTGGTTATTGCAAGAAATATCCCCTCAGTGAAGATGGACCGGAAATAGAAATGTCAGAGGAGATAGAAACTATTAGACATGTTAGAGAACCAAAGAAGGCTGGGAAATTGAAAAATGTTATCCCCGATAGTGCAGAAGATGGTGAGTCATTGGGGTCTCGTGAGGAACATGAGGAAGAGTAATTTAATTTTATTGTTTTAATTAATAAATTATTGTTTTACAACATTAAATATAATTTAATTGATGATGTTTTGTATATATTTGTGGCATTAAAATAAACGTAGAAGATCATTGTAATCTAAATATCAAATTGTTATGGAAAAAAGTCTATACCGATAAAAATGGTTTAAAATTGAATTTTAAATAATTATTCAAAAATACAATGCCTACTTCCGAACCTAATATTCAACATAGGGTCCTTCAAGAAAAGAGTGTACCAATTTTTAAAAGGCAAATTGCGCGCCCGCTGGCAATGTATCTATATCACTTATCATCAGGTGAGCCTCCTATCCAATTGCCCCCTCCCTGTTCTAAAAAAAACTTACCACTTAAATTGAAAATGAAGTGTAAGAGAGTAATAAGTTTCACGACAATAGGTAAGCTAAAATTACGTCATCCGACAGTAACTAGTAAAATTCTAAAACAAACAATTATGTTAAAGACACTTTTATTTGAAATCTATTTAAAAACAATAGTCATGAGATAAAATACTGAAATAACTAAAAAATCTGACTTTATTTGTTAAAACTATAAGCTTCTCAATCTTGTATTTTATTAATTACGTACCAAGTTACGTATTAAAAAAACAACGAATTGTCAACCACGCACGTCCATAGACAGAATGGATTGGAATAAGAATATGCTATGGGAAGATGTTGGGGCTGGTAGAGCAGATTCATAATGTACTAGAAAAAAGGCAGATCAAAAGCATATTTGGGGAGCATTATAAGAGTGGAGGAAGCGGAGTTTTTTTATACAGAACTGGACAGACATTTGCCCGCAATCCCAGGTGATTTTAAGTGAGATCTGGCCTATTGGAGGGCCTGTCCAGGTGTTGCCTATTTAACCGCTTAAATCAACCCATACTGTCTAGGGAAGATGAAAAGGGGCAAGGGGACCAATCCTCAAACTCAAATCTTTATTGCATTCCTTATGTTCAAATTTTACCCGTTTTAATTTATTACAATAAGGGCCTTGGTTAGGCACAGCAATGTTGTGAGAGGGCATGCTTTATTATAGTTAATTATATTCTCATACATTTTTATTCTTATAAGATACATTATTTATTTGGTATATTTGCTTTGGTTTCACGTTGCGAAAAGGTACTTAACATTATTAATAAACTTAACTTTTATACAGAAATTAAAGTCAGATACTCTGTAACAGTGAAGTTATGTTTTTCATTTTCAAATTTTCTGATAATTTGTTATATATTTTTATGGAGGAGGTCAATGGTCCTGATTGATGTAATTTTAGTCTGGATGTAGGTGGAATCAGTTGGTTTTTACGAGGTCTTAGTGAGTAAAGGGTTTTTGTATCTTCCCTTTTTATATACATGTAATGAAATGATATTTCATTAATTTGAATTTGCCGCGTTACAAGTTGTCTGTAAAAGTTGGTAGGGGACGCGTCGGAGAGACGCGCGATTGAATGGCGGATGACGTGCAGATTAATTTAAGTGCATTGTATTATAAAAAGATAGATTAAAGGATAAGTGAACATTAAATGTCGTTACTTTGTATTTCAGGTGAGAATAATTGTTATAGTTAGACCATAAGTGCATTGTATTATAAAATGTGATGAAGAAAATAAAACCTTTGTATTTCAGAGAAACAATTTCGTGATTCATTTAAAAAAAATCCTTAATAATATATCTTATATACATATTAGGATATTTACGAATAAATTTACATGCTTCCTATATATGCTAGGTAGAGTAAGGATATTGTTCCGAATGAAGTGCGGCTTCTTCCTTTACTGTACTATTTTGTTACCCAGTCTGTAACCGGCTTTAAGATATTTTAGCCAGAAATATGACGCATTTATGGCATTGTTTAAAACACTTGTGAATATAATACGTATGTTAACAATGTATGTATTGTTGTCTTCCATTTATCTGGACTTTTCGTAAACGGCGCCATTTATATAATAATAAATTGTGCGTGTACTAGGTGTACACACGTAAGAAGTGAAACTTCTTTATGATCTTATTTTTCGAAAAATGATCTACTATATGCAACTTTACAGAAATTCGTTAAATTAGATAAATAGACCAGTCAGTCAAGACAATTAATTCATAATAATTCCAAAAGTTTTCAAATTTTGATGTAAGGTCGGGAGTGGTATTAAAACAAACTATAAAATTTTGCAACCTGCTCTGCGGTCCGGAACATTGTTAAAAATGCAATAAATGATAATTTGCTTAGTTCTTGAGACCAAAATTCCAAAAGTTCTGCAAAGTTGGAGTGGTGTTAAATATATTATTTTACATCACGTGTCAAATTTGCAACCAATTTAAGTGTACGGAACATTATTTAATTAATGTTGTTCTTTATTAAACTGAAGGAAAACGTTCCAAAAGTTCTGCAAATTTGACAGATATATCGAAAATAAAATAAATAACAAAAAATGTTCGGTACCCTTAGGTTGGTTGCAAATTTTATACGTGATATGAAATATTATATCGAAAACTTCCCCAAGTTTGCAGAACTTTTGAAATTTTTTTCACGACCATACAGCAAAAATTAATTTAATTGCAATTTTAACAATGTTCCGGACTGCGGACAAGGTTGCAAAATGAGATTTATTGTCGTCCCAATGTACCATTTACTTGACCGAAGTTTGAAAACTTTTGGAATTATTATCAAATTTTCGATTTCGAATGTCTATAATGACTGGCCTAAAAGTTTAACAAAAGGTTTTTATTATCATAGACATGAATACAAATATTTCATTTTACCTTATTACTACGAAGATTATTATAGAATTTCATTAATTGTAATAGAATTATTACTATCATTGAAAAACGTGACGATTTGCTACAAAATTTCTCCCATACGTCGATAAAGAAGTTTCATTCCAACGCCGATAAAGAAGTTTGACTTCAAAAAGCAACATGGTGCGTAACCGAAAAATGTGACGCGTAACGAAAAAATGTTACACTAAATTTTTTTTCCAACCTCGATAAAGAAGTTTCACTTCAATAATTTAAACAAATAAAAGAGCCAGTGGCGCTACAGTGGGTCTCAGATTTCTGTATGTTTCATGGTCATTTGTAAATAGTCTGGCCATAAAAACTTTTCTTTTTTTTTCAACGTTAATTATTTCGAGACCTCATCTATTATATATATTTAAATAGAGTTTTAAACAAACATGTCGATAAGCGGGTTATAATTATTTTTATGTCAGGTTTATTAAGTTGTAATACTAGATTAAGATTTAGTGGAAGTGGTTTTATCTTAAGAATATTTTAAGAGTTTAAACGCTTGGGTTATCGCAATCACAATGTTATTGTTATCTGTTTCTCAGAAACGTTCTCACGAAATAAATTCGCAATAAGTACAAAGAATAATTTATTTAATGAACTCAATATATTTTAGTATCTTTCAGGACGCTTGTTAAACGGCACTGTTTAGAGAAGGTAGAGAACGTCTAATTAAGTTAGTTGGCTGCGACAAATATAATATGACCAAAATCCTCGCTGTATAATACTTATTCCTTGAGGAAAGCACCAGCTCTGGGGTCATCGGTTGTATACAGAAATTTATCCCCCCCTTCTCCTGCCAGCAAAAGTAAGCAAAGCTGTCAAAAATAATAATAGTACATAAACGTATTAATTATTTGTAGGAATCGTCGAAAAATCATTTCGTTTTCAAGCATAGACAATGTGTGGGTAAATTGTGTAAAAAAGTAATTAATTACCGTTGACGTAATCACCAAATACGAAAATCAAAGAATCGAGAATCACTACCACGCTCTAACGTGATAAGAAAATGCGCGCATCCTTACAGTGGAACAACTAAGTGAGCAAGTGCAAGAGTGTGGCTGTTTATTTTTTTTTAATGAGGTGAAAATGCGCTTACGCAGGCCCGCGCCTTTGTAAAATGTTACGATGCGGGGCGGGGATAATGGTAACTTTTAGGTATAAAGAGTCACTAGGTTGTCACCAAACGTTTTACTATACTTGGGCGCTGTTACGGGGCGTTACATGGGGGGTCAATATTCTCCAAAAATTGCGTGACATAATACTTGAACGCTCCCTAACCCAACCAACAAAAAGCGTAGAGGTGACGGGGCGAGGGGACGCGACTTGTGTAGTCGAGAGTGTGGATGTGAAACAATGTGTAAACAATGATTAAATTTCGTTTCAGATTCAATGTTAAATAATCGAAATGTTTGTTTTCATTGTATAAAAATTAATCTTTAGAATTGGTTTTATTCAAATCTGTTTCAATATTTAAACATAAACATACACCCACACTGTTAATAGATTTCTTTAAACATTTCCTATGTTTGCCAAATACATATACTGATAGTTTATTTTTGTGATACTCCATTTATCAAGGCGACAAAATTTTAAAATTATGAAGTAAACTCCATGTCCCTAAATTTAAGGGCAAACCTCCTAAAGCAGTGTTTCCCAAAGTTGGGCCCATGCCCCACAGGGGGGCAATACTACTGTTATTTGGAATTTGAATTTCCCTTTTTTAGTATTTGTTTTGAAAATTAACTTACTTTTTTTTATATATTACAGGAGGCAGACGGGCAGGAGGCTCACCTGATGTTAAGTGATACCGCCGCCCATGGCCACTCGCACTGCCAGAAGGCTCGCAAGCGCGATTAGTTGAAACTGCTCTGGTTAACTCTTTTCTTGAAGGACCCTAAGTCGAATTGGTTCGGACATACTTCAGTGGGCAGCTGGTTCCACATCAGTGTCCGGCAGAAACTGCCTTAAGAAACGCTCAGTTGTGGAACTGATGTCGAGGTGATACGGATCGTATTTTGTATTCTGCCTTGACGTCTGATGATGAAACTCAGCTTCTGGTATTAGACCGAACAACTCCTCTGAACACTCACCAGCTTGCATAAACGTTCGTCGTAGGCACTTACTATTTATGCGAAAAATTCAGACTTTATAATTTTTCGCATTGTCAATTACGAAATAATAGGCAGATTGCACGCAACACACATTGCGTTGAAGTACGCGGAAATTATGAAATCTATTACTAAATATGATAAGTAATTGATAAAATTTGAATAAAACAGGCTTTGTGCGAACGGGTTCGTCAAAGATGTCGTGGATTTGCTGTACCCTGCTTTTGCTGATGAGTTTTAACGTAAGATTTTCTATACTATAGCATAATTTTTTAAAGAAGTCATCATCTAGAGTAATATTTTATTTGAGTTAAGAGCCAACATATGCACTATATATATATATATATATGTATAGCGCACTTATATAAGATATTTAAGATTCAGGATGATAATGGAATCTCTTTGTTAGCTTTAAGGGCCTTTCCAGCTCAGCTCGGGCTGATTTAGCGAGCGTAGCTCGGCCTGAATGGGCGTCTTTCCCGCGACTAGGGCAAGGGCGTCTCCTGTGACTCGAACCTCGGCTTGGGCCATCGCGAGGTGGTCAATCGCCTGAAGGGCAGGACGGAAGCTCACTGGAGTGAGCGAAGTCCGAAGTAAAGGCCTTCCCCGGTGAAGGATTTTTATCCCAATCAGATATTTTTATTATTATTGGGGCACTCACCGATATCCAGATTGAGCATTCTGATAAGCGAGCTTGGTCTGGATATCCATAGCTTCCCGCACACTTTAAAATTATATTTTTCTTTATCTTTTCACTTCGTGTTTGTTGTTTGCCAATAAGGTCTTGTCACATTAAATATTGTATTATGTTTTCCTTAAGTAACATAATTAATAAATTGTAAGCACTGTAAGGTTTACTTCCATTTTCGGAGTGAGTGTATAGCAATATATATAATATGTATAATATGATGATTATCTGTTTTGAGAGATATTACTTTGTAATTTGAAGGCAGAAGAGTTCCTCTTTGGAGTCTAGCTGGGGTGGTAGGATGGTATTTTTGAAGTTATACTTCTATAGGCGCGTTATGAAATATTGATGAGAGTGAAATTTTACGATGCGCGCGCACCGTGACACAAAATTAACAGAATGAAGTTGCCCACGGAAGATGCTACGGCATTGGACATAATTTAAAAACAACATTCGAATAATAATAGAATTTATGTTACACTTAATGTAAGAGAATAATAATAAATATTTATTTATTAATTTAAGTTTTCAAATGTAAACTGAACTTTATTGACTATAATGACTCCTTTTCCAGTCTTTGATTATTTAATTGTGATTAATTATTTGCATGCAATCAAAAACTATTTTTAATAATGCCAAAGAAGTATAACTTCTTACGCGCGTACATAAGTAGGTACTCGCACCCTTTTTTTTATTAAATTGTTGTATTTTTGTAGAACAAGTTGCCCCCAATCGGGCAGGAGGCTCACCTGATGTTAAGTGATACCGCCGCCCAAGGACACCTTCAATGCCAGAGGGCTCGCGCTTGCGTTGCCGGTCTTTGCATGGCCTTGTTGTTATTGATAACGGTGTCGGTAGTTTGTTATTTTGGTTCTTCAATGTTGGCTCTTCTTAGTTGAGTAAATTGTGGTAATTTTTCTCATTATAGTCCTTTTTCTCTTTTCTTTTATAATGTTTCATTATGTCGATTATTATTTTAGGCAAGTGGTTGATTGGACTTCTGTAACACATTCGAAGCCTTAGAGAATGAGAGTGAAGATCGTAATAATAATAATAATAATAATAATTTATTTATTGCAAGAATATGGTACAAATGCTAAGGTGATACAATCATAAATCGTTCGCATATTCTGCCACACACGATGGCGCGCAAATTCGTCCCAAAGAATTTTACAATATTATTCAATGCCAATTCCTATATTATCCAGCCTATTATATTATATACATTTCATCATTAATTTTATATCATTTACGGTGTTTCATGCAAATAATCATTTATTGAATAGTAAACTTTATCCAAAAGCAATTCACTAAGTCGCTTTTTAAAGAATCTAGACGGAAGATCTTTTAATTCTTTTGGTAATTTATTGTAGACTTTAATTGCCATATAAAAGCTGTTTTTCCGAAACAGTTCCAGATTGATTTTTGGCACAGCCAAATTCTTCCCATGTCTACTTCTTACTTCAACTTATACATTCGACTTAAAAATATGTATGTTTCTGTGCACGAATAAGGATATCTCTAAAATATAAATACATGGAAGAGATAAAATTTTGAGCTTCTTAAATAAAGGTACGCAACTATCAAGACAGTTTGCTCCACAAATTGCTCTAATACATTTCTTTTGAGCCTTAAATACCCTATTTACTTCGACTGAATTTCCCCAAATTATAATTCCATATCTAAGTATAGATGAAACATATGCATGATAAGCAGCTAATACCGTAGCATGGTTAACAGTTTCCCTTAGTCGCTTTAACACAAAAACAAAACTGTCTATTTTGTTCTGTAATTTTTCAATATGTGACTTCCAACTACAAAATTTATCTATCGTTATACCTAAAAATACACACTCGTTCATTATGTCTAGTTTATTGCTTTTATATTGTAAGTCTAATTGTGTTTTAGAGTTATATGTCTGAAAATGGATTATGTTAGTTTTGGTCATGTTTATTTGTAGATTATTGGAATTCATCCAGTTAATGGCGTCGTCTAGAGATTTAATTAAATTGTTTTTTAAGTCTTGTTCGTTTTTACTTTTTATTATAAGTGTAGTGTCATCAGCAAATAGTATACAGTTCTGGTGTATAGCATCTGGAAGGTAGTGCTTTTGATGGAAGGCTTTCGACTCATTCTTGGACTAGGTTTATATTATTATTCAAGATGATTAACCTGCTGGTATATTACAGATATCAGTATTATCCTACCCTGGATGGTACGAAAATGCCCCCGTCCCTGGTTACTATGGCAACGGGTACCCACCCATAGTGGTGAAATCGGACGACAGTTTAAAGAGCATACTGCCGCTGATCCTTCTCCTCCTCATGGATGGAGGTGGTCAAGGGTGTGGTTGTAATTGTGATGACGGACCCATACCTATGCCGTTTCCTATACCAATACCAATTAACAGTCCTGTGATTATGTGAAAGAGTGCATGGTCAATAACATAGTGTATATAAATCTGTTTTGTTGAAACTAATAAAGATTTTTAACTATTATTTTCATTTTATTTATATATTCTCCCCTTTCAATGGATAGGATCACGGATCTCCACTTACGGTCCATACCTCTTTTCATCCCCTTTCATCACATTCACCATGCTCATGATATGAGTACTTTCAACTTTTTGGATTTAGGATTTAGTTCAGGTACGACAAGGCCTACCCAAGACGACTTTACCATCCACGTGCGACTATATCTGATTCAATATTATCAATGTTTTAATCAAGGTCATATTTAAGGTTTAGCCTGTATAGGTCAGGACACTGTAGTGACCAGGTTGCGTACTTGGGCCACGTGTTGCAGCAGGACCGCTATCGCCTCCTTCAATTAGTCATAATGGGTAAAATCCAGGTTAAACGGCGTGTTGGTAGAAGGAAAAATAAAGGCTTCATAATGATAGGGAGTGGACGTGACGGGACAGAGTTTCTGCATCTGGCACAGGAAAAGAGATGCTACACGAGAACTGATGGCCAACATCCAGTTGAGAGGCACCAAAAGAAGAAAACAAATTAAAAATATCCAAACCTTTACTGAAGTGCAGATATGAACTTCTTACCTGCAACAAGAAAATTTAATTAATAAAGGTAATACAGTCTTCATAGCTCAGTGGCTAATCGTGGATTTGTACTCCACCTATTGACGAGGTGTTACACTTTACACTTGTTGAAATATAGGAAAACAAAAAAAAAATATAAATTTTTTTTTTTGTTTGATTTTGTAAATTTTTGAACCTTTTTGTAGTAAAATGTATTATGTTTTCCTTCTCTGGCTATATTTTCAGTGTAACTGTTTGTTATTATATATAATTTATGTTGAGATATAGGAAAACGAAATATATATATATATATATACGTACAGTTAGGACAAAGATCATCTATTTAATGTTAAAAAACGTGTTTTACCCCATAACCCATTGGGGTAAATACATAATCATAACAAAATAAGACGTCTTTAAAACCTATTTAATATGTCCCCATTAGAAAGCAGTTTTTAAGGAGTTGTAATTGCGCCTACGCAGATGAATAGCGAACTTGACGCGGGGACTGTGGGGCTGGTTCTACACGCAAAAGCCTCAAAGGGGTAGCGAGACCCGAATGTAGGATTACGAAATACATAAATAAATAAACAGAACTACTTGACTTGTCGCTGTTAAAGAATACGTGCCGATGATCAAAAATTTTCGTTACGTAATTATATTATTTTGAAATAGTTCCTATAAAAAAGGAACGCAATTGAAAATGTGTCAATATTTCATAATGGGTCCACTGGTGATATTGTTTTCTGTGTTCGTCTGTTGGGAGGTAAGTTTTTAAGATAGGTTTATTTATTTCGTAATCCTACAGCTAACAAAAAATGTATATAATAACAAACAATTACACTAAAAATATAGCCAAATACATAATATTTACAAAAGGGAAATAACAATAAAAATTATTAAATACATTTAACTAAGTGATGGCTGTGTTGTGTGATGTTGTAAAAGTGAGGGTAAGTGCGTGAAGGTGAGCAGTGTTGGCCTAGTGGCTTCAGCGTGCGACTCTCATACTTGAGGTCGTAGGTTCGATCCCCGGCTGTGCACCAATGGACTTTCTTTCTATGTGCGCATTTAACATTCGCTCGAACGGTGGAGGAAAACATCGTGAGGAAACCGGCTTGACTTTTTAGGTCCAGGCCTCAGATTTCTGTATCGGTTTCATGATCACTTGGTAATCTAATAGGCAAGTAGGTGATCAGCCTCCAGTGCCTGACACACGCCTGGCTCGCGAGTGCGTTGCCGGACTTTAGTATTTAAACAACTTGCTTCGAAACGTAATGATTCCCAAAAATCAAATTTAATTTATTTTTTCTCGGTGAATATGTTTATATATACAGATATATATTATATACAATATATTAAATTATGGAGGGTCCGTAGCTACAGCCGAAAGCGGTGTTGGTGAGATAGCCGCTCTAAGTACTCGCCATCAATATGTATGACGCGCCTAAGCAATCGATATAATAGACTTTAAGTTCTAATACAAGAAAAAGATTATGTAAAAGACGGTCAGTATGTCGGCCCTACGCCTCTCAGGCCCCCAAGGGTCTTCAAAGAAGAGTCTTAACAACAGTACGACTCTGGTATGTCCAAAATGATATGAAATTTGTCATATTTAGAACTTGACTCAGCATTCTTCTAATTAAGGTCTGACAGATACTTAACTATATTTTATTTTAGGGTTATGCAGACGCACAGGCGCGTGTAGAATACATGAAAACCCCCTCCATCACAGCCACACCCATGGTCCAGCAATGCCAGTTCGTCATCCCAGCTGTCATCAAACCTCTTCTATCACCGGAACCGGAAGTTCCTCACGCACCCGCAGTACCCGAGTACCAGCCCTATCCAATGCCACCAATAATCATCAAAGAGGACAACAGCTGGCAACATCTGCTGTACTTTATGATCTTCGCCATGAAAAATAGAAACTGTGCTCCACCACCCATGCCATACCAATATCCGATGCCTGGTTACGATAGATTCTGTAATGATGCTCTTCCATATATGCCCTATCCCTTCCCCATGCAGAACCAAGGCATGGACACGATGTATGATGATGAACCGGAGCAAAGAGATAATGAAGTAACTTTAGTGATAAGAACTGATAAATGAAATACTGAATAAAGACTGTTCGATATGTATTCTTTTATTTCGTTCCATCATCAGGTCAAAGCAATAATAATAATATAAAATTTGGGAACCCTTTTAAGTAAATTATACCAGTTTTTCTATTAAAAAATATTCAAAGTTGTAATAGAAAATGGTATGGTAACTATTTTTTTAAGTTAACTTTGCAATTGCAAAAAAATTGCAATTGCCTTTTCTTTAATAAATAAATTAATGTAAAACTACCTAAAGAAATATTACTTTAAGTATACTTCTTAATTTCAAGCAATAAAGACCCCATCAAAAAACCAACAGTACAATAAATAATAATAATCGGCGCTTAAACCCATACCAGCTCTTGTCCTTTATTTATAAGTTACAATTAAAATCACCATCACTGTTACATTAAAGAGTAACATTGCTGTTTTAAAGGCAAGGAAGTGATCAGCCCATTCCTGACACTGTAAATTTTAAGGCCTGCGTAGGGGGAAATGAGCTCAAAACGCCCAAAAAGGGCAGTCGTAGCAGCCCATAGACACTCATTTTAGTGGGTGCGTTCCCGGCTTTTATACGTTTTCCTTCACTGTACAAGAAACTTCATTGAGCATAAAAATAATCTAAAGAAGCGCATTTTTATTTTATTTCGGAAATAATACCTTATCAATAATATAGAGACGTTGAAATAATGTATAAAATCAAAATACAAATGGAAAAAGATAGTTAAGATGCATAATGTTTTTTTTTTATAAGTTTCCCATTCATTTATTCATAATATCACGCCTTCTTCCGGAAGTAGGCAGGTGTCACGAGTTTCTACTTCCTATGGGCCTGTCATACCACGCTCCCTTCCTCTTTAAAGTGCTCGTCCGTTATGGGTCAAAAAGTCAAAAGTCAAAATTCATGTAGGTAACACAATGTACACTTATAAACGTCAAAAAATACATTAAATGCTTCTAATTTTACATTTACTGCCAGTTTTCAAATCAAGGGCGTAGAACGGAAGAGAAGAACTGGCAATAAACTCTCCGCCACTCTTTTTAATCGCCAAGTTTTTGTTTTACACAATGTTTGTAAGGCAACCATTACACCATGTTCAACATGACATCTTAAGTAATAAATAATAATAAAATAAATTAAAAAACAAAGATTTGTCCTCTATGAGCAGGAGGCATGGTGAAATAGGAGCACGCACTAACATTCTCGTGGGAACAACACGCAAATACATAGTCGAAGCAACTAACATCACCGCATACACGAATTCAAGTACGACCAGTAGCACCCGTTCACGAGTATGACGCATGGCCAGCCGTCGGCCAGCATGGGTACTTGTAACTTGTCCCTTCTCTAGTCCTGGATTTGGTCCAGGTACGACAAGACCTACCCAACACGATCCACGGTTGTCTTGTATACCCAACTGACCCGCTTCTCATTCCTTTCTCCATGGCCAAAGCACCTAAGCATTCCCTTTCGTATCATTGTCTAGTCCTCTTTTAACGCACACTTCTCTAGTATCTATTACTTATTCACACACATACTCACTTATATAATTGATTTATTAAAAAAAGACTTAATAGAACAGGGGGGGCGAACGGGCAGGCTCAGCTGATGCTAAGCAATACCGCCGCCCATAGACACTCTCAATGCTAAATCGTTGCCGGCATTTTAAGAATTGGTACGCTCTTTTCTGAAGGACCCTAAGTCGAATTGGTACTGAGTTATTTCAGTGGGCAGCTGGTACCACAAAGTGGTGGTGCGCGGCAGAAACTGCCTTAAGAAACGCACAGTTGTAAAACGGCGGACGTTGAGGTGATACATCGATGTTTTTCAATAAAAAAAATATTTAATCCTATGTTTTAAATATAACCCGAAAACAGTTCACGCTCTGCGTCGGTCATTGACGCCAAATGCAGTCTGCATGCAGATGTTTAAAACAACATATTGAGAAAAATACACGTAACAATGACATATTATATACATATATACTAACTGACCCGGCAAACGTTTGTATTGCCATGTATATTATTTCTAGAAAACATTTTTTTAGTTCAACAAAAATCACTATCTACAATAATAAAAAATAGGGGTTGATCGTAGAGGGGTGAAAATTAAGGGTTGTATGTATTTTTGTATGTGATAAAAAAAACAAAAAATTTTGTCGAAAAAATAAAAAAAATTTGGCCACAGGGACCAAATTAAATTTGTTTTAATGTTCTATTTTTATTATTTATATGTAGATTGAGAATATTGTAAATATACTGTATAAAGACAGTTTTTTGTTCACATATGACGGACAGACTTGACTGACAAAAATAACAGGCGGATAGGCCAACACTGCCACATTATAATGACGTACTCTATATAAGGGTGATTCTCTTATAAGAGGTAACTATGATGGCAATCTGTTTAAAAGTGTTTTTGAAGTGAAACTTCTTTATCGGGGTTGGAAAAAAATTTAGTGTAACATTTTTGCGTTACGCGTCACATTTTTCCGTTACGCGCCATGTTGCTTTTTGAAGTCAAACTTCTTTATCGGCGTTAAAATATGACATATAGTATGTTTTTGACTTTGAAGTTTGACAACGGATTTGTAAATTGTATGCTAGGCAGTGTATCAAAATTTACTGTGTTTAAAGAAATAGTTTCTAATAAGGTCATAAAGAAGTTTCACTTCTTACGTGTGTACACCTAGTACACGCACACATTTTTTTAATATATATATGTTGCTATTTTGTGCAATAAATCACATCACTTTAATGTCCGTTATTAAATAACATTACAATTAAATGTGTAATTAAAGCACATTTTTGTAAAACTCGTTATATAGTCTCTACCCTGGCCTGTCCCCTTACCGGTTTCAGCTTAACTAGCATACAATACATACAATATTTGTATTATTTGCTAAACCAAACTATGTTTACCACAAATTTAAGCAAATATACTCTATATAATAGAACATGGAAATTTAAAAAAAAATTACGTGCTAATATTGACACATAGGGTAATTTCAAAATAGTTAGTGTATAAAAACAATAATTTTTATTCAATTTCATACACTAAAAATGTCTATCTTTAAAGTTGCATTCTGTTTTTCTTTACTTCTCGCCTTACAGGTAATTATATTTATTACTTTTTTTATGTAACAATATTGGTGTCTATGAAGGCTCGCTAGTGCGTTGCCCGTCATAAAATTTATGATCTGTTTAGTTTAATGCGTCAAAAACTGTTTTTATCCTTCGTTAGTATCTATCTCTTTCAATCACATCGAAACATAATTTGATAGAAAGAGGCGAAAGATTGCTTTTATGAATATGTTGCTATAAACGCCACGCCATCTTTTGCTAAAGTTTAGTAAACGTTAATTTAAGATAAAATTTAACGAAATTATGTTTTTCAGGCAGTCAATTGTCAGATGGGATGCAATTGTGGGCCATACCCCATAATATACCGTGAGAAAAGCAATGATTTAGACGTTATACTGCCGATACTGATGCTGGCTATGATGGACGACGGTCCCTTTGGGCCTATGCCCCCAATGCCTCTTCCATATGCTGGTCTGAAAAATAATGGTGGATGTGGGTGTGGTGGTTATCGGTGCTAAATATACAATACTTAATGTGAACTGTCTTTTTTTTCAATTGAACTAGACCACAGGCGAACTCTATGGTTTCATATATAGAGTATACTTACTAGCAGACAGGCCAAGCGTTGCTGTGGCTAAGGTTTTTGTTATATTACATAGTAAACTGTTCAAGGGAAACGGTAGGAGAACACCAGCCATGGGGACCACCATGCTTTTTTGGTGGTTATGTCATTAAATTGTAGCTTATATGAAACGTTGGTACTTTCAACACAGCGCCATCTGTTAGACATCTTGTGACTGCCAAATAATAAACAAATAATTTGTAATAAAATAATATTGCGGGTATAAATTGAGATGTAAGCTATCCTATCTTTTAAGTTGGATCAAACTGCACACGGTGTGCAAATTTGATTGAAATCGGTTCGGTAGTTTAGGAGTCCATAGCGGACAAACAACGTGACACGTAATTTATATATATATATATTAAGATATACTAAACTATTACAACAACTTCATTCGATTTCAAAAAAATCGATTCGAATTCCATATAATTTTAGTATTTATTTTTTTTCAATTTTAACTGTTTTTATTTTTCTTTCAACAAAACTATATCATTGACGAACTCTATGGTTTCGTCTATCACAAACTATTTTATTCAATTATATATAATAAATGAAAATTTAAAAAAAGCATGGTGTAATTTTTTATAACATTTATGTTACCATAATCGTCAAATATTTTAGAAAATATAGCTTGTAACATACTGTAGATATAGCATTATGTTATGAACTTTATTAATTAATATTTAAAATATTGCAATCAACAAGAAATTGATAGGAAAACTAAATATAGCAAGACAGAAGAGAGAAAAAGGCTCTCACATTACCTCTAATTAAATTATCTAATTTACCTTGAGACATACTTTAACTAGCTTTATTTCTGCGGTTTTGACCGCGTTGCGTTGTGATACAGCCCTCCATAAATAGAACACATATCTTCAATTCTTGAGATAAGTAAAATGCTTTATTAAGACATACATATTGTTACGAAGACGGGTCGACTACAATGTTTCTAGATTTTTCCACTAGTTAGAGAACTTTTCAGCAGGCTGAAATGTGATTTCTGACCGTTTCAGGAGAAGGTCAATCACATATTAGAAAATCGTAATTTACATAATGTCACCCTAGTTTTCAGGAGCCTGAAACATTTTTTCAGGCCGTTTCAGAACACGTGTAGTCGAATGGTACACTTTTCAGGAAACCCGTTTTCAGGCGTTTTCAGGCCTGGTTATACCCCTTTGATGAAGGAATGTTCTAGAACGAATTTTCTAGGTGTGGGACAAGGACGGAACGATACGCGAGAGAGAGGGAATATCGGAACCTTCTCGAAGCTAGACCGAGCACTCTAGAACGCCGTACGACAAGGACGGAGCAATGTGCGAAAGAGATAGCTAGTACGCACGTTCTAGAATTGTGCGATCGCTACTCAGTTGCACTGCCGCCTAGAGAGTTCTCGAACATCGCTCCCAGGGATATATAAGCGAGCCGAAACGCGACCGATTAGTTCAGTTTTGAATGCGATACCAAGCGATAAACACCGGAGTGACAAAGTGCGAATATAGTGAAGAAAAGTGAATACAAGTACTGTGTGAAGTGCGTGATATTAGAGTAATTAGTGACAGTATTTTGTGTGTGTATTTAGTGAATTTTTGTGCGTAATTTCAAGTTTATAGTGTTAACAAATTCCTCGTAGATTTAATTGAAAATAAACCCTTGAAGAGATTTACGGCGTTTCTATCCGATCCCCTAGCTCGTAACATTTTGGTGTCAGAAGTGGGATAGAAAAATGCCAATTACTCCGAGGGAGAATCAAGAGGAGTTTGTGGCCGAGTCTCCAGCTGCGGAGGGAGTGCAGACAAGGGCACAATCAGCACGCGACGCCGCCCGGCGACAAAGTTTCGATGCGAACCGCGGGATGGGCGAAAGCAACGATAGCAACATCCTCCTTGCCCTGCGCCAAATGATGGAAGAACAGGCTCAGACACGTCGTATGATGGATGAACAGGCACGTCGTCAAGAGGAACAGGCACGACAAATGATGGAAGAACAGGCACGACGTCAAGAGGAACAGGCCCGTCATCAGGAGGAACAGGTTCGGCGATTGATGGAGGAACAGGCTCGCCGTCAAGAGGAACAGGCACGCCAAATCGTGGAAGAGCAGGCTCAGACACGTCGTTTGATGGAGGAACAGGCTTGCCGTATCGGAGAAAGATTAGGAGACCTAAAACAAGAAGTAGATAAAAAAATCGAGAACTTGGAATCTGATATGGACTGCAAATTTTCGAAACAGGACAAACGTATTCTCGGATTAGAACAAGAGATGCAGTGCCTGAAGACCAAAGGTGTCGTAACGACTGTAGCACCATCTGGAAATCTGAAAGTACCTCCCTTTGACGGTACATCTTCCTGGGGCGCGTACAAAATACAGTTTGAGACTGTGGCAGAGTCAAACGGGTGGAATGACGATCAGGCTGTCACCGCCCTTATTATGGGACTGCGAGATGAAGCCCTCACCATATTAGATACCAAGACAGGTAAAGTGACGTTGAAGCAACTGCTGGATGCCCTGGAATCACGGTACGGAGACGCACATTTAGAGCACGTCTATAGGGCTCAATTAAAGGATAGAATACAGCAGACAAATGAAAGTTTGCAAAAATGGGGTCTAGAAATAGAGAAGCTGGTAAGGAAAGCCTACGCATCCTTACCAGATGTAGCAGACAAGATATTAGTGCAAACTTTTATTGATGGAATAAGAGATCGTGAAGTCAGGTTGAGTGTGAACCTTGGTCACCACAAGAACCTGAAGGATGCTCTAGCCCATGCGTTGGAGGTGGAGGCGATTCAGAAAGATTCTCGACCTTACCGCATTAGGGCTGTCACGGAAAAAGCAAACTCGTGTCAACGTGGACCAACCTGTTACACGTGTGGGGAAGTGGGGCACATGAGGTTTTCGTGCCCAAAGAAAGACTTCCGAGGTGATGTGAAGGTTAGACGCGGGAATACCTTGGTTATCGACGGAGTAGTCAATGGAACTAAGTGTGACTTAACACTAGACACCGGAGCTTCACGAACCGTAATCAGATACCAACTTCTGAAGTCATTTTATGGAAGCCCTTCTCGAGGAAATGTACAGCTTGTTACAGCTACAGGTCAGCGTATAACCGATCGGGGAGAAGGTATCGCAACCTTCAATATTGGTGGAAGATTTTACAGACACAAGGTTGTTCTTGCCGACATAGTAGATGACTGCATAATCGGGTTAGACTTTATGAAGCTGTACAATTGTAAAATAGATCTGGAAAAAGGAATCTTTAAGTGTGGAGAACAGGAAGTTTGCTTAAAAGGACACTCTACAAATAGTGGTTTTGACGTCTGTAGAGTTATCAATGTGGACGGACAGGCCAGTAATCAACAAGAGTGGAAAGTTACTGAGACCTATGAGGAAGCCTTGTCAAGACAACTATCAAAGGCAGAGGAACAATTAAGGACATTTAGGAGTAAAGAGGACTCTTATGAAGATTAAAGAAATATTTTATTGGATACACTATCGTGAAGATGTTGAAGACTGGATCAAGAAATGTAAAGATTGTGCAGCTATTAAGGATTCGCAGACTCGGTCTCCATGGGAAAGGATAACGGTGAATGAAAGTGATGATGCTCGGGACGAGCATGTCTAAGGAGGGGGTAGTGTTACGAAGACGGGTCGACTACAATGTTTCTAGATTTTTCCACTAGTTAGAGAACTTTTCAGCAGGCTGAAATGTGATTTCTGACCGTTTCAGGAGAAGGTCAATCACATATTAGAAAATCGTAATTTACATAATGTCACCCTAGTTTTCAGGAGCCTGAAACATTTTTTCAGGCCGTTTCAGAACACGTGTAGTCGAATGGTACACTTTTCAGGAAACCCGTTTTCAGGCGTTTTCAGGCCTGGTTATACCCCTTTGATGAAGGAATGTTCTAGAACGAATTTTCTAGGTGTGGGACAAGGACGGAACGATACGCGAGAGAGAGGGAATATCGGAACCTTCTCGAAGCTAGACCGAGCACTCTAGAACGCCGTACGACAAGGACGGAGCAATGTGCGAAAGAGATAGCTAGTACGCACGTTCTAGAATTGTGCGATCGCTACTCAGTTGCACTGCCGCCTAGAGAGTTCTCGAACATCGCTCCCAGGGATATATAAGCGAGCCGAAACGCGACCGATTAGTTCAGTTTTGAATGCGATACCAAGCGATAAACACCGGAGTGACAAAGTGCGAATATAGTGAAGAAAAGTGAATACAAGTACTGTGTGAAGTGCGTGATATTAGAGTAATTAGTGACAGTATTTTGTGTGTGTATTTAGTGAATTTTTGTGCGTAATTTCAAGTTTATAGTGTTAACAAATTCCTCGTAGATTTAATTGAAAATAAACCCTTGAAGAGATTTACGGCGTTTCTATCCGATCCCCTAGCTCGTAACAATATATATAATATATCAGTCAAATAACATTGGTAAAATAAATATGAAAACATGTTTTATAGACAATTCAATTTCATTGTCTTAATTGAAAATTAGCTATGATCTGAACAACCAAACCATAAAAATCAAATAAACATAAATGGCAATATATTTTCCTAAGCACAAACGAAGACGGCTTGACAGATTCGTGTATTGTTATTTATTCCTCTGAGCAAGGTTCTACTGAGAAGAAAATTGGGAAAAATTGCACGGAAAACCTAAAAGCCAGCTCGAAAAGCGAACTGTCTCCAAAAGAGTAGCATAGCAAAATGTTCCATATACTGTTATGTTACCAAAAAGGTAGGCTAAGTAAAATCATATTAAGGCGAAACGAAATTCGCGGGGGCTAAATTATAATTCACACACAAAAACAGGTAGACACACACATACATTCACACCTACCATAGTCAATTAAGTGCTTCTAAACGGTTTCTTAATTCCCTACTGTGGTGGCTAACACAAAAAAAAGGGTGCGTGTGTACGCGCGTAAGAAGTTATACTTCTTTGGCTTTCTTTATTTTTTTAAATATTAAATAATTAATAATAAATATTTAACGTTAATAATTTAATCATATTTAATATTTAGTATATTATTAATTAATATTAATAATAATAATTATTATTATTTTATTATATTATTCATCCAATTTAATAACAAGGTATGTTTATTGTTTCATAACTTTTTAACTAAGTAACAATAGGTCTGTGAAAAAGCATTGCTAAATTTCTTTGAAAAAACGATTAAAACTCCTTTATTTGTTTAAAAGGTCATTATGGTCATTCAAAATTCTTGGTAATAGCTGCTAACTTCACGCATATTCTATTTCTTTTTACTTGTAGATTGTCTTATTCCCATCTCGCTCGCGTACGCTATAATCACACTAATAATTTTGTGTCGCGGTGCGCGCGCATCGTAAAATTTCACTCTCATCAATTTCATAACGCGCCTAAAGAAGTATAACTTCCAAAAAAAATGTGGCGGGTTTTGTAATTCAGTCGGTGGCGGTAGTTGGAGGGATGTTCAACCAAATGAAACTCTTTAAAGCTGGGTGTCAACTGTCATAATTCGGTTGCGACGCTAACAAAAAAATTGTTTCCTTAATAACAATTTTTAATTGTTTATAATCGTTTTTTTATATTTTTATTGTTTAAATGATTAGTTAAGAAATATTTTTTTTTCTAAAAATCATAATTGACAGTCCTCTATAAAGTAACAAAATAAATTGTCCGTGTACTAGGTGTACACACGTAAGAAGTGAAACTTCTTTATGATCTTATTTTTCGAAAAATGATCTACTATATGCAACTTTACAGAAATTCGTTAAATTAGATAAAGTTTAACAAAAGGCTTTTATTATCATAGACATGAATACAAATATTTCATTTTACCTTGTTACTACGAAGATTATTATAGAATTTCATTAATTGTAATAGAATTATTACTATCATTGAAAAACGTTACGATTTGCTACAAAATTTCTCCCATACGTCGATAAAGTTTCATTCCAACGCCGATAAAGAAGTTTGACTTCAAAAAGCAACATGGCGCGTAACCGAAAAATGTGACGCGTAACGAAAAAATGTTACACTAAATTTTTTTCCAACCTCGATAAAGAAGTTTCACTTCAAAAACTAACTTGGCTTATTTAAGGGTTCTTAAATGTAAGTGACACTTCTGTTACCTATAAAGAATATAAGTGTAGTCGACCTATTGGCGATTATCGGAAACGAGATTTTATATTACAATTTATGAGTATTATTTAGTTATAAAATTAGTTACAATTTATGGGAATAACTAAAGGGCTCAAATGTGCGATAAATAAAATCTGAATATAGCGAAAGTGAATATTGGTTTTCAATGGTTAAAAACGGTGAAGAAAACTTCCCGATGAACCAGCATTATGGAAACCAGACGGGTCTTACAGTTGGCCTACTACGTACTGAAAGTCTTGAGGGGTGTAACCCAAGTGTACTCCAAGAACTGGGTTTCTTAGTACCTTTGGGATGTGTGCGACGGCGAAGGCCTAGGTTATTTGCGATACCAAGGGCAAGAACCAGTCTGTTGCACAGATCCCCGTTATCAAAGACGTTGCGCCTACTGAATGCTGTCTTCGACACTATCGACATATTTATATGTTCGCAAAGTGGATTCACAGCAGCGATATTGTGTATATTATGTGTTTAATATTATATAGGTACTTTATTATATTTTATTGAATGTTTCTCGACATTATCGTATTGGCATAGTCTGTAAGGATAATGTATGTATTTATGTTATAAATAAATAAATGCTAGCCACCTATGTGCTAGCGTGTGGAGGGCGTAGTTGGCTTGTGGCGCTGTAGTATCCCCGTATGTAAAAGTTCGATACTTTCTCTAGTTAACATCTAATGACTAACAACTTAACCAATTTGTTAATGACACTGGAAGGAACCAGCATTTTAGATACAGGCTAGGCCTAGTTTCAGCGTCACAGAATTGTATTATGTATAAGGTTAAGCAAAATGAATGGTAACTCAACGATTCGTTGTCTATTATATATTTACAACCTTTAGCATGTCAGTACAAAATTAAATTTGTTTTGCATCAAATAAAGTATTTTTTGCGTAGACGGACTATGGTATAGATCAGGCATCAGCGTACAGCGTGTGAGATAGCGAATGATCGGCATATGTCATATTTACAGTTTTAATTCATTGAAGAATTGCTTATTATTGACCAAAATACACATTCGAATCAATAATTCTTGAACAAAGTTACTGAGTCGTGACAAAATAAGCTACTTACCGATGAAATATGTTTGGTTCTTTACTTTCACCATAGCTTTTACAGCCAATTATGCAACAATTCACCACGACTGACACTTTAAATACACCTCTTATAAGGTTTTATTGTTTACCACCAAGGGCTCGGTGGTAAACAATAAAACCCGATACGCAAATAGAGACAGAAAAACTGATACTCTGTTTCGCTCGCACTTAAGTATTTTATGTTAATGCCTTCTCTCTTTATTTATTATTGTTATTTTAGAAGCTCATCTAGTTCTATACTCTATCTACGATTTTTTGCTATCTTTGACATATACCCACGATTCTCGATTTGAATCTGTGGATCTGTCAAACTAACTCTTTAGACGTGACATAGCGTAATAATTAATAATATTAGGTAACACCACATCTAAGAGTTTGCTTTCGCATAACGTAATTTACGATATGAATAGAAATTGCGCATGAAGATTTCACAATAATTTGTAATGGACGCTATAAAATGACATTTCTTTGATCACAATTTTATTAAAGTACCTACTAGAAATAGGTTAACACTCCATTGTTCTCTATTCTTATTATTGTTCTATTAAAACTAATTGCGATATGATTTAAATTACATGATGATATGTCTTATCTGCATTATCGTTTTCAAAGTAAGTTTCTTTATTACATAATTGTTTATGTTCATGAAATATATCAGTGGCGCTACAACCTTTTTAGGTCTGTTTCATGATCATTTGTCAATCTAATAGGGGAGTAGATCAGCCTCCTGTGCCTGACACATGTCGAATTTTTGGCAAGGCACGCCGATTTCCTCACGATGTTTTCCGTACCCGTTCGCCGGGGAGCGAACCAATGACCTCAGTGATGAGAGTCGCGCGCTAAAGCCATGAGGCCAACGCTGCTCTGTTGTTTATGTTTATAGTTGTACAAGGTTTTAATTACATAATGTAATCGATATTTGTATGAGACATCAATCAAGAAAATAACATAACTATTTTATAAAAACCAACTTAGAAAAAGGAAGATTATAATTTACACTTTCAACAAACATGACACTTTTAAAATGGATGTTTTCTAGTATGTTCGGTGAGCATATGGTCCCCGTTTGGGTAATAATAATTTAATTCAGTCGTAATACAAGATTTTAAATGTTATAAATTATGTAATGATAGTATACCAAAATAATTAAATCTTTTATTTAAGGGCTTTTGGTACATATTTACCTAAAATAAAGCTGTTATATTAATAACGCCGAATTAAATGTCCTGTTAAATAGTTTGGACACGGCCAATATATCAATTAACGAGATGTTTAATATATGATTTTACAGAGCTATGCCAGTGGCAGCAAAGACGTGACCCCATATGCTGGTGAACAATGCGGAGTTCGCTATACGAGATCAGTCGAACACAAAACAATCCCTCTCCCGGACATCACGTTTCCCGAAACCTCCTATCCAATGACAATTTTAGACGCAAAACCATATTATTTCGCAACTGAAGCGCAGGATAGTATTCTGAGCCCATTTGAGAAGGATGTTCAAGAGTCATTTAAGCGTCTTGAGACCAAAACAAAAGTTCAATCCAACGTAATTTTTACAGGTACTTCTAAACTGGAAAAAGTCAATATATCTGAAACTTGTGATTATGTTATAAATAATATATCTCAAACACAAGATTCTATAAATAATACATCAGCTACATTAGATGAATCTTTCAGTGAAACAGATTTTAATGATACAATAAGCATATTAGATTCAATAGAAACTGATTTCATTAATGAATTGCAAATGGATGACATAGACAGCAATGAATCTGAGTTAGTTGAAATGTCATCAGAAGATTCAAAATCATGGATTATAGACGAGAGAAGTGAAGATATATTTAATAATTTGATAAAGACAAATACAGATAACGAATATAATTTCACAACCGATTACGAGGAAACTACCATATTACCAATGTTATAATCTGTGTAACTATTTATTTATATTTGTTCCATTTGGAGTAGAGACACTTGGGCCGTGGGGTTCAAGTGCACAGCTAATTAAAGATTTAAGTTGGCGCCTGGTGATACCGGTGACCAGAACTGGTGCTGTCCTTAACGAATAGGTATCGCAATACAGCTAGGAAAATTAAAGGTACGGCCACATGGACCAAATTAAATTTTTTATATTTTTTTTTATTTTAACTTACAACGTTAAGAATATTGTAAATACTGTATGTTAATAAATTTTTTACAACCTTTATATACATTTAATTCTAAATTGTATTGTTTATTTTGTTAATAAATGTCTACAATATACTTTTTTTCGTATCCTACTAATAATTTGTATTGCAGTTCCTGTCCGCTTTCCAAATAAATAAAACATAAGACTTTTTGAATAAATTTGTATAATTGAAATTAGTTTTATACGCAACCATCCATTGTGTAGATTTATTGTTACTAAAACAATTGAACTATTACAAAATACATCCTTTGATACACGATTACATAAATACAAGTAATAGGTCTATATGACATCGATAAGCGAAGTATTTAGGTAACCTACCGATTTCCTAGGAAACTCAATGAAATATGTGTTATAAATAATTGCGATAAAACTAATTTTTTACACTTGAAAATGGCTGTTCGGGAAAAGGTCGCCTTATACTCAATTATTCTCGTACTGTTTGCGGTAAGTTTTACGTCATTTATTTATATATAAAACACACATTGTGTTCTACAATCATCTATATGTTACAGATAAAATATGCAAACAGCTTGCCTAAAAATATGGCGAAGAGAGCGAGACCGGGCGTTAAACCACTTTTCAGTTCAACGCCAGCTCCTTGGACTAAGCAGAAAACCCCACGACATCAAATATCAAAACCAAACCAACAGGACATATTCGAAAAATTTAACTTCCCTGAAATACAATACCCATCAGCTTCAACACCAAACACTCCGTTGTATTTTCATGACATTGAAAATAAATTTAAAGATACAGCATTGAAGGGAACGCCCAAACGGAAAGTGGAAAAACAAAGACGAACTCGGAAGTTGGAAACAAAATCAGTACAGGGAAATTCGAAAGGTCCTGAATTTTCATCAGCTCCAAGTTATCGAGACGTAGGCACCTTCCCTGACGTAGAATATCCCTTAAACAACAAAGATATCTGGCGGCCTAATTATTGGAACTGTCCACCTAAGACCTTTTCACCTTCGACAAACATCACTAAATCTAGAAGACGAGGGATACACAGTACAACGAAATCGACAGTGAAATCAAAGAATAATAACCAAATAAAGCGTCTATCCACCTTAAACAGAACTAACAGGAATCATCCAGGTGTTAGGGAAGATAATAAACGAGTAGAGTTACCTACAAAGAAGCGATCACACGAGCCACTCTTTGATTATTCATATACGGCCACGCCTACACCAGATCTGTCGCCTGAAATTTCAGCGTTGCGAACGAAACTTGCATCAAACATAGCACAAAAAGCCGTATCTTTGATTAAGGATAAAGTAAATTCTAAAACTTCTAAAGAGCCCACATTTGCGTTACTTAATGATCATGAATTAGAAGAGATATTATTACTCCCACGCAACTTTAATAGCCACTCTTTGATGGATTCTATCAAAGTTGAGCCTCCAGTAAATGTGGATACATATAAAACAACTGAGCCCGCGATAAATATGTTTACTATCACAGAAAGTCCAGAGCTCCATAAATTAAATCAAGCGAACACATTTGGAACTGATAATACAAATTTATTACCCCTGAACGATATAAATATAGACTCATTATCACCACGTGGATCTCACAACGATACAAACAGATCAATAGTTGAACATAGTGATGACGTTATAGATAAAAGTGTGAATAATGTAACTATAACTGATAAGGCTAACAATGAATCAGATGAAGATTATACTACAGACGATCCAAGCGACAATTATGTTCTAAGCACGATTTCTCCTATAGACAATTGGAGAAATACAGATATAATAGACCCGTATAAGTCTGTATCGTATCCAGATGATTTGGAAGATTATTTCATAGCTGTAAAGTAGTGTTCAGGGAAATTGTATGCTCCAGTGGTTATCGTTTAAGTGATTTATGTATTATTGATGAATGAAAGCTATTTATTTATTTATTTATGAAATTCTGAATTTAAAATATACTATTTTCGTACATACATTATTTCATTTTCTACTTAACACGTGGAAGCATGATAATAAGCTGTTTAATCCGCTAAAGGAGGTTATAAATTTAACCTATATGTGATGTTGGGATAAGATAAAATCTAATATATAAAATTCTCGTGTCACAATGTTCGTTCCCATACTCCTCCGAAACAGCTCGGCCGATACTTATGAAAATTTTAATGCATATTCAGTAAGTCTGAGAATTGGCTACTATCTATCTTTCAAACCCCTAAGTGATACGGGGTCTACACCCCAAAAAAAAAATGTTTTATTTTTTTTATGTTACAGCGTACAAAAATACATACAACCCCTAATTTTCACCCCTCTGCAATCAACCCCTATTTTTTATTATTGTAGATAGTTATTTTTATAGAACTAAAAAAATCTTTCCTAGAAATAATATACATGGCAAAACAAACGATTGCCGGGTCAGATAGTATTTTAAATATATTTAAGCAAGAACGTGTGCTATATGGTACATGTATATGTATGTTCCACCCTTTGGAACAACCTTTATTCTGTTATCAGTTTACCCAGGCAATAATAAGTTTAGTTTTTAAATTACTTTTAATAAAAAAACTCGTAAGATTTCAGTGTATACGTACACTTTCCATAACTAGCCCGAAGTCCCGAACTCGGAAATAAATTTACTAGTAGCTTTAACAAGTAAAATTAAATAAACAGTGCTGTTCTGTGAAATTGAAGGCATTTGTAAGAGTTATAAGTAGGTATTAACCCAACACTGTTCTCAATGTATACCTAGGGTTTCATTTAATATATACTTAGGTTTTGCTAAGAACTAAAATGGGTACAACTTACAACGATCTATCTATAGTAATATTATAAAGAGGAAAGAATTGTATGTATGTTTGTAACGAAATGGCTCCAAAAGTACTGGACCGATTTTAAAAATTCTTTCACCATTTCAATGCTACATTATCACTGATTAATATTTTTATTGCAAGAAAAAAATAAGGATCCTACTAAAATTACAATAATGTTACCCGAGGTGTATAAAATGCCTATAAAATATCTTTAATCGCATGCGATGCGAAAACTATTGATGATAGAACAAAAAAATGTTCCACAATATTAAAGAACTTATCAATATCTACAAAATTAAAAAATAAATGTCCAGCAGTGCGAAGCCGGGACGGGCCGCTAGTATGTATTATATATATTAGTAGTTCTAGTTACATACTAATTAGTACAAATACAAAATTGCTAATAAAATGAAAAAGGTGTCGAGTTTTTTTTTTTGTAAATAAGGCTCTTTAAAATCAAGATTGCTTAAAAAAAAAACCGCTACAACCTTTTAAGGTCTGGGCTGTTTTATATCCAAATAGATGATCAGTGTGATCAAACAATCAGAACTTTCCTATATAATATTAGTATAAATAACTTAAACTCACAGTTTTTAAATATTATTATTACAATGTAAGTTAAGATACATAAATTACCGTAATATACGAGAACAATTTTGTTTGTCCGCAATAGAGTCCCTAATTACTTAACTGATTACAATCAAATTTGCACACCGTGTGCAGTTTGATCTAACATAAAAGATAGGATAGCTTACATCTCAATTTATACCCGAAATATTATTTTATTGCTAATTATCTGTTGACTGAATTAAGTATATATTCTAACAGATGGCGCTGTGTTGTACCAACGTTTCACATAAGCTACAATTAAATGGTATAACCACCAAAAAAAGCATGGTGGCCCCCAAGACTGGTGTTCTCCTACCGTTTCCCTTGTAGTAATAGTTTAATACTATGTAATATATCAAAAACCTTAGCCACAGCAACGCTTGGCCGAGTCTGCTAGTATACATATACATAAATGCTGCCACATTTCCGATGGGACCAAACTTATTACATTTGTTTTAAATTTCTATTTATAAGTTTTTAAATATTATTATTACTATGTAAGATAAGGTACATACAATAATAATGTATCTATATAGTATATAATGTAACACAGGAGACCGAAGATCTGGCAGCTACCTCGGACAAAGAATTAGTCTAGCAATTCAAAGGGGGAACGCTGCCAGTATCTTCGGAACCTTGCCTAAAGGGACTCCTTTTAATGATATATTTTAGTTTATGTTAAGTTTAGTTATTTATTTCAATGTATATTATTTTATTATTAGTTTTATGTGCTTATGAACGTAAATAAAGTCCTAGTTATAAATTAATTCAGGTATATAATATATATATAAGAAAGAAATCGAATTAAAATTTTGTTTATGTAACATTATATATACATATAGATAAATGTTGCCAGCATTAGGGGCACACTGCCACAGGGACCAAACTTTTTTAAATTTGTTTTAATATATATATCAATTATACAAAATCAAAATTAATTTTACAAAAAACATTTAAGATTCCCAAAAAACGTGATCGGATTCTTAAAGTTCTAAGTAATTTTCCTAATGATGGCAAATATTGTGCGCCGGCGCAGTGATGTAACCCCAAGGTCGCGCAGTGTCATTGCGACCGGTTTGTTTTTGCGTTTCAATTATTTCGATATTAAAAGTTTCTCTTGGTTTTTTATTTCCGCTGATTGTTATTTTAATTTCAATTAGCCATTGTTTAAGATAATTATAAATGTTTCACAGAGGTGGGTTTGAAACCTGGCTATTAACAGTTCGATGTAGTCGTTATTGTACGGTCAAAGTCCAGACTATGAGTTGCTGGCGACCTAAATTTATTTTATAATATATATATAACAGGGGGCAAACGGGGAGGAGGCTCATATGATGTTACGTGATACCTATAGACCAAATTACCAGAAAGCTTGCAAGTTGCCGGCTTTTTAAGAATAGGTACGCTATTTTAAAAGGCTTTATTGGTGAATTGGTTCGGAAATGTTTTTAGTGGGCAGCTGGTTTCACATAGAGGTGGTGCGCGGCAAAATTTGCCTTAAGAACTCAGTTGTGGAACGGCGAACGTCGAGGTGATAGGAATTTCGCATTCTGCCTCGGCGTTCGATGATGAAACTGTAAACCAGTTAAAAATATGAAGTATTCATAGCAACATATTTAAACTGATATATAAGGGACTGAACTTACTCAAAAGTAAAACGTAGTTAGAACCGAAATTTTTGTTTTAGTATTCAAGTTTAAGCTGTGTATTACATCATTCATTATCAGCATTTTTAATTACATTATTGTCTTGGTGGCGCCAGATTCGCCGCCAAGTCGCCGATTTCCAATACTTTTATTATTATTATTATTTAATGGATATATTTAGTGATGGAAGGTTACATACAGTTGCAGCAGCCGTGAGCAGTGTTGTCCTAGTGACTTTGCGTGCGGCTCTCATACCTGAGGTCGGAGGTTCGATCTCCGGCTGTGCACCAATGGACTTTCTATGTACGCATTTAACATTCGCTCAAACGGTCAAAAGTCAAAATCATTTATTCATATAGGTAACACAATGTAAGCTTATGAACGTCAAAAAAAAGAAAATATATATATTTGAAATGCTTCTAATTTTACATTTACTGCCAGTTCTCAAATCAAGGGCGTAGAACGGAAGAGAAGAACTGGCAATAAACTATGAAGGAAAACCGGCATGCTTTAGACGCAAAAAGTCGACGGCGTGTGTCAGTCACAGGAGGCTGATCTACTTGCCTATTAGATTGATTATCATGAAACCGAAACAGAAATCTGAGGCCCAGACTTAAAAATGTTGGACCCAACTTGCCTATAAAAAGACGACCATGGAACATATATAGATTTAATCCAAAGACCAAGGGGTTCGTGTATGTGTTGTTTTATGTTTCATTGGCCGGAACAGACAAATGCGGGATTTATTGCTGTTTGGGCTTGGTATGGCGTCATTGTGGGGACGAACCGTGTCCAAGGTCACGTCATGCATGAATAGTTCCAGAAAATCGTTGATTTCTAATCATTACAAATATACGGTTTAGATTTGTTATATACGTATACTAGCCGTTTCGCGCCCGCTTTGCTGGACGAATTAAAATAAATTTTATGTTTCATTATTTTAATTTTTTTCATATTTTTATTATTCTTCTTTTTAACTTCCCGCTAAGAAAATTGAAATATTTCGAAAATCGAGTTTTTAACAGATGTTGACGTTTAGAAGCCTCCCCGAATGTTTCCGCGGTGAAGTCCGTATGGATAAATTTTCATAAAAGTAAAACAGCAATAAAAAAATTGAAGGAACGTTGGAATTTAATAAATAAATAGCCATCTAGAAATTTTAGCCATCTAGATTAATAGAAAAATTTCGCATCGAATGGTGGTAGTTTCATGTCGATACGATCAGTGGTTTAGGCGTGAAAGAGCCTCAAACGAAGACCATTTTTCTTTTATATATATAGATATATATAGTGTAAATTCTTTATAACGTTATTCGTTATAACGACATACTCTCTGTTACGTACAAATAGTTACATTTGTTTGGTTTAACACAAAACCCATACATTGGTTAACTCTCTATAACGAAGAAATATTTTCATATTTAGACATCAACAACATACTAAAGTATAATTGTTTTTCTAATCTGCTTACAAAAGTAACCTATTGAGGTGAAGAAATTTCTAACAAAGAAATGACTGAGACAGGTCATAAACAGCCATCTCGCCTTTGTTCTTGTTAATTGCATTAACACGTGTGCCATTATTCTTAGATTACATTGCCTGTAGGAAATTTTGGTCTCAGCTACTAAACGGACCACCGTCACCTATCGTGTATTATCAGTCGTAAACAAACTTTGTAACTGTCAAGATCGCCAGTAAAACAAAAGCGTTATGTTTTATATGTGTTTAGAATAATTTACCTATTGATAGCAATCAAATTAGAAATTATTGTAGGTAGTTGGTTAAAT